CACATCTGTAATACCAGTACTGGGAGGCTGAGGTGGGCAGATCACTTGAGATCAGGAGATTGAGACCAGCCTAGCCGATACAACAAAACCCTGTCTTTACTAAAAATAGTAAAAATTAGCCAGGTATGGTGGTGGGCCCCTGTAATCCTAGCTACCCAGGAGACTGAGGCAGGAGAATCCCTTGAACCTGGGTGCGGAGGTTGCAGTGAGCCAAGATCGTGCCACTGCACCCCAGCCTGGATGACAGAGTGAGACTCTGTTTCAAAATAATAATAACCCAGTATTTACAAATGTTTTATATAGCTACAGAAAGTGCCTGCATTAATCTTGAAAAATTCGAACTCTTCATTCTTAAGATTATTTTTATTAAGTTGGAACCAAATTAGTGAATACTTCTTGCAACTTTCCTTCTTTATGTTCAGCTAGCATGAATCTTGATGGCTCTGCACAAGATCCTGAAAAGAGGGGACATTCTTCTGTCTGTGTTGGCAGAGAAGATGACATTAAAAAATCTGAAAGAATGACAGCTGTTGTCCATGATAGAGAAGTGGTCATTTTCTACCACAGGGGAGAATATCATGCCATGGATATTCGCTGTTACCGTAAGATTTTATTTTTCATTTGTAAAACTTTAAACCATAAAAGTATAAAAATTTCATTTTTTTAGTGACTACGTGTAATATTCAATTCTTTTTCAGACTCAGGAGGACCTTTACATTTGGGAGATATAGAGGTATGTAAAATTATTTTCAGCAAATTCAGATGTTTCCTATTTATATTCTTATTTCATTCTTTATTCAGAAATAACTTACAATTGGTTTGAACTATATTTTACTGCTTTGAATATAATTTCAAGTATTCTGGGAATTCATAAGATAAATATGAGAAATATGCATATCTTTTGACCTAGCAATTATACTGTATATTCTATGGTCATAATTGTACAGATGTTCAAGTATTTGTATAGGAATGATTCATTGTAGCATTATTTATTATAATGAATAATTGAGGGCAACCTAAATGCTTTAACAATAGAAAATTAGTTAAATAAATTATGATACAGCCATGCTATGGAATAACTGTGGCATACAATCATTAAATTAATGAGGAAGATCTGTGTGAGTATGGAGAGATGTGAATATATGTATTTATGGCTGAAAAAAGCAAGTCATAAGATAATAGTTCTTATGAGATCTCATTTTTTAGTCAAAAAGAATATTCACTTTTTACTTTATACATTCTGCATAATTTGAATCTTTTACAATGAGTGTATATTGCTTTCATAATGTAACAAAAATATGCAGTATAAATATATTTTTAAAGAAGTAAACCACACTTTGAAGTCTTAACTGAGAAGGAATAGGGGAAATTGTCTTTGCTTCCTTAGATTCCAAAACTAGTCACTGAATTTCTTGTTTCTTACTTTATGAAATTGGTCTCTCTCTAACTGATGCAAAGTACAAGCTTGAACTTAGCATTCCACACTCTCTACACTTGATGAGTGTACATACCTGTCCTCATGTTAAAGAACATATGTGTGTTTATTTTTCTATTTTTCCCATTGTCCAAGGCCACATATGTGTGTTTAAATTATGAAAATGTGAATGCTGACAGTTTTATGAAAGTACAGATCAGTATTCCTGCATTTTTGGTGGTAGAGGGGAAAATGAAAGCACCCACTTACGTTTGTAAGCTGATAATAGTTTCATAGAATTTTTCCCAGTTTCAGTCCATAATGAGAGCGTGAAGACCTTGCTACTTAGTGTTGTCCATAGACCAGCAACTTTGATGTCACATGGGAACTTCTTGGACATTCAGAATCTTGTCACCCCAACCCAGGAGTCCCCAAACTTTTTACACAGGGGACCAGTTCACTGTCCCTCAGACTGTTGGAGGGCCGCCACATACTGTGCTCCTCTCACTGACCACCAATGAAAGAGGTGCCCATTCCTGAAGTGCGGCGGGCGGGGGGGTGGGGGCAGATAAATGGCATCAGGGGGCCGCATGCGGGACGTCTGCCCCAACCCCTTAGAGCTACTGCATTTAAACAGAGAGGCATGCATTTAAACAAGATCCAGGTGATTCCCATGTTTTTTAAAGTTTAAGAAGCACTTCACCAAGACAGTTAAAAAGTTGGGAATTAACTACCTTGGATCACAAATTGCTCTTCTATTATCATATGCACTCATGCCTTTAGTAACTCCTTTAGAATTTACATCTAGACCTTACAATTCTTCTAGCAGCTAGTGAAAATTCCTATAGAAGCACTTGACGTCCTTGCCCCATTTCTGTCAAGGAGGCACATAAACACCTAATAGATAACAGCACAGCTGCAGTCACATGGTATAGTTGCCTGAGCATGTCAGTCTTCTGATAGAGCTCTAACTGGCTTTCTAATCAACTGTAAAAGAGCTTGATGACTCTTCTCAGATTAGGTTCTGCTTTATACTGAATAATTTGTAAATAGGAGGAAAAAATAAAAGCTAACCTGTTTTCTAACCTGGTTCTTCTGCAGCAGATTCTGTTCAGAGTCTATGGTGTATCAAGAACGTTTGACATGTCAGAATTTTAATGAGTTATTTTCTTCCCCAGGATTTTGATGGACGACCGTGTATAGTTTGCCCCTGGCATAAATACAAAATTACTTTGGCAACAGGAGAAAGTCTGTACCAGTCTATAAACCCTAAAGATCCATCAGCAAAACCTAAGTGGTGCTCCAAAGGAATAAAGCAAAGGATTCATACAGTGACAGTAGACAATGGGAATATTTATGTGACTCTTTCTAATGAACCTTTTAAATGTGACTCTGATTTTTATGCCACTGGAGACTTCAAAGTAATTAAGAGTTCTTCCTGATAAAAAAATATGTAGCAATGAAAAATATTGTGTATGCTTAAAAACATTTTTAGAATAACTCTGCTTCAGTTTTAAAGGTGATGTTTTTTTCAATGTAGGCACAATAATTTAAAAACTATATAAATTTGAGAGGTTTAAGAGCGCACATACTTAGTATGATATAAGGATTATCATCAGGGTCAATAGAATACATCTTATCTAATCCTCTGGATTAATTAGAACCTGAAGGTTATAGGTTTGGGATGCCCTGTTTAAGAAGGATGAAAATAAATTTGGAGTAAACAAAATAAATAATACATAAAAATTAATGTTTAGTCAGAAAAAAAATTTTAATTTAAAAAATGGGAAAAAATCCCTGTTTGACATAGCAGACTTAATTCTGGAAAAGTTTAATATATACAAAGTAAACAGAATATATAATGAACTTCCATCACTCAGCTCTAACAGTTACCAGCATTCTTCTTTTTTTGTTTATACCTCTATGGATTCCCTACCTCTCCTATTTGATTGTTATTTTTACATTTTTAGGTAAATTTTAAATACATCGAAATGTTCAAATCTGAACTGTACAGTTCTCCCAAATAATATAGCAGACTTTTTATACTTTAAAAATGCCTCCAAAAATGAGCTAAGTTTACCTGCCGAACTTGAAAATAAGAAGCTTAACCACTGTGCTAGACATTAAAACCAAATAAACCTTGGCTTAGTTTCTGTATGATCAAGGCAGATCTTGAAGTAAGGAAGCCACGCACAGCTGCTGCCGAGCCATTGGAGATGTAACGTCTCCTGTTCAATGAGCCACTGTACTTTGAATGCCTTCATGAAATTTTCAAATAAAGGTTTTTAAAATTTTTTTAGAACTTTGTGAATATATGCACAACTAGGTGTTTCCTATAAATGTTTCATAGAGGAGATCTAGGGTTCTGTTCCTTGGAGTTCCCAGGCAAGGTTGATGTTCAGTTGGTTCACCCTGGTTTTCTCATGTCAGTTATCTGTGGTCAGCACTGTTCTGTTGCCTGGTGCTCATACTATACTAGTTGTTATGTATTTAATATAGCACCCTGAGCATCCACCATGTAAAAATCAGCAGCACATAATGGTGATTTTTACATGGTCAGTGTTCATGCAAAAATCACCATTGTGTGGGACCAGAAATAGCTAAAATGAGTAGATGATGAATTCAGAGTGAAAAGCACTGTTTGTCAAGATTGGAACCTAGTCTCAAAGAACAGTATTATTTTTAGTGGAATAAAATTAAATTAAGAATCTAAACGTAATACTTAACATTCTAAGGGGCCCACCTGGACTCTTTCCCTTGGTTATTATAAAAATAGTAAATGAATAAGGTCTGTATAGTAACGACTCTGCTTACAGGGACCTTTGCTACATATTATCACACTTCCTTTTCTGTTGGAGTATGGGTAGCATAAGTAGCACTTGGTCCTCATTTCTCAGACAACTAATGAGTCAGACTTGGGCTTTGTATAGATACTGTTTATGGTAGCAGCTACTCACTTAAGTACAGAAAATGTACTATCTCTCAGGAAGGTACATCCCAGTCTATTCTATCGTGATAATCCTTCAATGCTCAGTCAAGTCTTAACACGTGTCCAGAATGGAAAGTGTATAGAAGAAATCAAAGTACTTTCTGCAGCCAAAAACTGTAGCCCTGGTTTGCAGGATTAATTACAGAAATATTTTCTCACAAAAGCCACTGGCAATAGTGCGTAGTGTGCACTTGAATTTTCATTCAAATTTGTATCTCTAAATTTAGAAATAAAAAAATCATATCATGTCCTGTCTTCATATATAGAAATCTTCTCATCACATTTGTAAATAATACTTTGTTTTATAAATTTATGACATCTATGAATTGCAAATCCTTCCGTGATTTATAAAATAATAGGCAGACTCAAACTCTGCAGGCTGTATATAAAAAATAATATTCTTTATTTTGATAGTGCTTTTTTTCTCCCAAGTAAAGAATTAGACACTCGTCTTTACTAAAAACATTAATGTATTATATATATATATATATATATATATATATATATATATATACACACACATATTATAAACCACAGTGTAAAGTCTAACCCACCAAAGGGTGGATTTTCTTGTTCATGGAAAGTAGTCAGTACATATATTCCACATCAGTATTCATTTTATTTACTCTATCATGTAAATACTAGAAAATGACATTTTAATTGTAGTCCCCTTCTTTTTTTAAAAAGAAAGCAGAGTCTCTGAGTTTTGTCAGATGAAATGTGCCATTAAATAGATAACTTTTAAGTTCTGTTCAGTGATATCTGCATTCAGATCTGCTCATCCATTTCAGCTGATTGGTCAAACACAGAGTGTAAAACTTGGATCTTGTTACTCTGCTTTTTAGCAGGAAGCTTGGGATAACATGACATGTCTGGCTTCTCCGGCAATGACCTGTAAGGTTTTGCTTTGATTTCACCTTCAGGAAACATAGGCTCCGAAAGCACAGGCTCAGAAAAGGCTTTTCTACAACTTTCACTCTCTTCTCTGCTTTGCCTTATGGATTCTTCTTCTTGAAAGATATTCTTTACCTTCTCCAGCACAGCATTAACACAGACTGCCTATATAATAAAAAGAGTTTGAAAAGTAAAATTTCTTTTTAAGCTACTAACCACAGATAAATACAATATGGTATTTAACATAAAGTCATTAATCTACGTAATCTAATAAAAAACACCTCTTTTCAGGACCTCCAGGCACACAATGTAATAAGCATAGATGGTACTTTCTAGCTATGCCCTCATATCAAGCCTCATTTCTAAGGGCACTAATCCCATTCATGAGGACTCTGCTCTTATTATCTAATCACCTCCCAAAGATCCCACCTGCTGATACCACCACTTTGGGGTTAGATTTTAAAATAAGAATTTGGGGGAAGCACAGACATTCAAACCTGGGTTTTGATAACATTTTGGACCTAAATGTACAAACCTGGGAATTGCCTAACTCCCAATTTCTAATTAAGATATTTAAATGTCTTTATTGATTAAGGCACTGTCATTCAGATATCTGTTGTGACTTGCACTTTTATGTATCCAAACCCAGTACTAGAAACCTGTAAACTCATGACATTTACCTGTAAATAGCCTCATCCATTTATCCCAAATATGATCATTTTCTATGAATGCCATGTTGTGAGAAAGGTTGGAAAGTTCTATCCTACTTGAAACATTCTCTTGTTCCTCACCAACAAAATTATATCTATGTACATTCTAATCACCTTTTTCCAGTCTCAGAAAATGAATGGTCTTGATTAAGGTCAATATCCTTCTATCTTTGTTTTCAACCTACATCCTACCATCTTCTCTATCAGTTATTCCTTGTCTCTTCCACCTCTTTTCTCTTAGCTGGCTCTTCCCCTGCAACCTATAACATGCTTGCTGACTGCTACACACTCTGTCTTCTTAGTCAAACCAGAGTCTGTTTCCATGCTATTACCTTCTGTTCACTCTGAAACTTCCTATTTCTGTCTTCCTTATCCAGTTATGCCACTGAAATCGTTTTTGAGATGGTTAACTTCAACATCTTTACTACTGTGTCTCATGGACACCTCAAATCATCATTTCACTTGACTTCTGCTTGTATGTGACACTTAACTACTCACAACATCCTGAGTCTCTGTTTCCTTGGCACTATTTCTCCTGATTTTTTTTCCTGCCTTTCTGATTGTTTTCTTGTCTCCCAAATGGATTCTTTTTCAGCTCACCTAAATGTTTCTCTTCTTCATATTTCTGTTGACTTACCATTCTTTTCTCTTGACATGGTTCCACTCATAGGACATTAACGTCTAACATATATATTGTTTTCAAAACCAAAATTTTAGCCCCCACCTCTCCCAGGCCTTAGATGCATATGTGACCAATTATCAGATCACCAAAAGTTTGTTTCTGTTACCTACTGATAAAGTTCATGGCATGACACATTGTGTGAGATGATTTCAACAGCCTTTGAGAAAATTGAAGTTTAATTTTTGTTTTAGTCTAGTTTTTATTTCTACATAGACAGGTCATCCTGTTCATTTTTTGTAATGTATTTGCATCCTAGTTTAGTTGAATGACAATTTTATATGAGATTCACATTTAAGATATTGAGCACTTCCTGAAAATTTAAAACAGTGGCAAAATATTTGATAAAATTAATTTTTTAAAAACTGAAATAATACACTTCAAAAGTAAGTTCTACCTTTTTTCAAGGGTATTTGGTTATTCTTGACCCTGTACACTCCCCTATACATTTTAGAACTGTCTAGTCAACCTAACACACACACACATACACACATCTGCTTGGCTCTTGAGACTTTTGTGTTTTGATATGATGTAAAAATATTAACAAAAATGCTGTAAGAATGCTAACGAAAAAACTCATAAAATAATTAAAAGAAATTAACGAAGACCAAAATAAATAGAAGGGTATATTATGTTCTTGAACTGGAAAGAGTACTTATTCTCCCAGTTATTAAGATATATTATAGAGCTCCCATAATTAATGCAGTGCTGAACTGGTACAAGAATAGACAGAGACCAACTGAATAGAACAGAGAATCCGTAAACAGACCTACATATAAGGGTCACTTGATTTATGACAAAAATACTATTCTAAGGCAATAGGGAAAAGGCTTTTCTAAAGAAAAAGTAAATTTAATTGAATTAATTGGATACTCATGGGGAAAAATTTGACTCTTACCTCACATTAGTTCAAGATGGATTACAAATCTAAAGGTGAAAGGTAAAATAAAGCTTCTAGAATGTAACAGAGGAGAATATTTTCATGACCTTAGGTGTAAGTCAAGATTCTTTTTGAAACAAAAATCACTTAACATAAAGGAAAAGATTAATAAATTGGATTACATTAAAATTATGATAAGCTTCTATTTATTTTAAGACTGGATATCACTATTATGCCCATGCTGGTCTCACTTCTGGGCTCAAGGGATCCTCCTGCTTCAGCCTTCCCCATGAATCTCCTGAGTATCAGGGATTATAGGAACACACCAGCATGCCTGGCTAAGAATTTCTGCTTTAAAGGACATTGCTAAAAGAATGAAAAGGTAAGACACAGGATATGAGAAGAAATTTGTCCATATATAATTTTAAAAGGACAAGCTCCTAGAATTATGTTTTTTAAAGTAAAAAAATCTTTTTTAAAAAAGATGTCTCTAAATAGAAAAACAAGAAGAGATTTTAATAGAAATTCACAAACAGAATATCCAAATGTCCAATTAATGTATGCAAATGTATTCAATCTCATTAATAATAAGGGAGATGTAAAATAAAACCACAATGTGATAATACTACATACCCACAAAAATGGCTAAAATGGAAAAGATTGACAATACTAAGTGTCAGTAATGATGTAAAGCAACTGGAACTTTTATAAAATCTACTGAGATTTGTGTTAATTGTTAAACCATTTTAAAAAACTCTTTGGCAATGTCTACTGGGTATCAGCACATGTATAACTTAGGGTCTAGCAGTTTCATCAAAAACATGTACAGGAATATTTATAGCAACCTTACTCATAGTAGCCAAAACGAAGTAATACAAATGTCCATCAGCAGTAGAATGTATAAATAAATGTTGATACAGTCAGTCAGTTGGATACTACACAGCAATGAAAGTGAGCAAACTACTGCGACAGGCAATGAATAATCTCACAACAGTGTCGGGCAAAAGACAAACACAAAAGAATACGTACTGTCTGATTTCATTTATATGCAATTCAAGCAGTCAACCATCAGTAGTATTACAAGTCAAAATAGTGATATCCTGTATAGGAAAGGGTAGTGATTATGAGGGGCAAGAAAGAGGTTTCTGGAATAATGGTAATTTTTTTTTCTTCTGGACCTTGGTGGTATAAGGATTAATAGATTTTGTGATAATTCAATAAGTTGTGCACTTTCATTTTGTATGTTATAGTTTTTTTTTTAAAGTTAAGTGGCTACTAATAAAAAATAAAACCTTTACAATTTAAAAAATCCTTGACATTTTTGTCATGCACAGCACTTGTAATCCAAAATACACTAACACCTGTGTTCCCCAAAGTGAGAGACCCCAAATGATAGATACTGAACTTCAGCCAACCATGGCACAATGGTGAAACAAAACAACTGTAGCTAAATAAAAGTAAAACTAAAATTTCTTGATCAAGAATATTCAAGTGGTAATAAACTTAATAAAAATAAAATAAGTGTAGCTATTTAAGCAAACTGGTTTTTGGTGAATTGACCTGGCTCATCAGAAAAGGAAATTTTTAATATAAAATTGTTTTGTGTAACAAGAATGTTATCATAGTTTGTCAATGGTAACAGTAAATATTGTACAGTTTACTATTGCATAGTATTATCATTAACATTACATAAAATAAATAGATTTATTTCTAGATTCTAATAATTTTCTCACCAAATAAATTAGTGCTGCATATGAAGCATATATTATGCTAGTTAAAGCCATCTTTGCTGGAAAGGAGATGATTTCAAACAAAGAACCCTTTCTGACCTGCAAAAACAGAAAAGATTTTCTATTAAACAAAAGTTTTCAATGTTTCAATGTCATATTGTACAATATTACTGTAAAATGATTATTTTTCTAAAGAAAGTCACCTACTTTAGAGCTACCTGCGCTTTTCACATTGTGAAAATTGTTTACGTTTCCTTGTTTTTACAAGACACTTTCTTGTGCTAATCAAAACCTGTGACAAATCTATAAAAGCCTTGCATTTCTGCGATCTAAATGACTTTTAACTTTTCACAATTACCAACTGTGCACACTAGGAGGTGCTGCTGTGCATATTAGAAAAACAGCCTTTCCTTTGTTCAAATTCATGTAATCATTCTTTACTAATTATTCACAACCTCAATTAAGTAAACAGCAATCAAAATAATAAGCTTTTCCTAGAGATTAATGACCTGCTTGGAAATGTTCATCATGAGACTGCTGAAGGCCAGCATTAACCTTAGATGATCATTAAGCTTCGGAAATGTTCTCTGCACATATCCAACAGGCTCTCATGAAACACAGAGCAGTTTACACCAATAATGAAGTTGCTCTCTTGTGTTTCTAGTTTCTGGCAGAGGTGTACCGGCCTCAAACAGATCAGGTTAACATATTCAGTTTATACTGTCTTATGGGCCACCTCTGTCGCCTTGAGCAAGATATGAAATGAGGACGTTAGGAAAAACATTCCCTTTCCATTCAGCAGTGAAGTGGCAGTTAGCCAGGCTCCTCTGAAGTAAGAGCCAAGCAACTCAATGGATTCAATGAACTTCCAAAAGGCACAGGCTGTAGCTAATAAAATCATATAAATGCTTGGTAAAAACATGCACATAGTGTTCATTAGAAAATGTTCATTAACAAGTTATAACATTGAAAAAAACTAAAACAATGATTCCAGAATAGTTATGAAAATTCTGTTATATCCACTCAATGGTATATTATTGCAACCTCTTATTTTTTAAAACCTTTTATTTATGTATTTTTAATTGTAATGGTACATATTTAAGGAGTACTATTTGATGTTTCCATACAAATCTATGTTATATGATGATCCAATCAGGGTAGTTAGCATCTGTATCACCTTGCTGCATTTATCATTTCTTTGTGGTGAGAACACTCAAAAATCCTCTCTTCTAGCTATTTTGTAAGACACAATATTTTACCATTAACCATAGTCACCCTACTGTGCAGTAGAACACAAGAATTTCTCCTTCCTTCCTATATAATTGTAATTTTGTACCCATTTAACAACCTCTCACCATCCTTCCCTTTTCTTCTTTCCCTAACCAGTCTCTGGTAACCACTGTTCTCCTCTCTGCTTCTATGATAACAACTTTTGTTGTTGTTGTTGTTGCTGTTGTTGAGATTTCATGTGTTGGTGAGATCATGTGTTGTTTGTCTTTCTGTGTCTGGCTTATTTCATTTAACATGATCTCCAGATTCATTGTTGCCATCACAAATAACAGAATTTTATTCTTTTTTATGGTTGAATAGTATTCAATTTTGTATCTAAATCACATTTTCCTTATCCATTCACCTGTGGTTAGACACGTAGGTTAATTCTATATCTTGAGTATTGTCAATAATATGCAGCCTTTTAAAAGGTACTTCTGGGCTGGGCACAGTGGCCGACACCCTTTGGGAGGCCAAGGTGGGTGGATCACCTGAAGTCGGGAGTTCGAGACCAGCCTGACCAACATGGTGAAACCCGTCTCTACTAAAAATACGAATATTAGCCAGGCATGGTGGTACATCCCTGTAATCCCAGCTACTTAGGAGGCTGAGGCAGGAGAATCGCTTGAACTTGGGAGGTAGAGGTTGTGAAGCAGGAGCAGCTGGAGAAACAGACCTCTCGGACACCGAACTAGAAAGGAAGGGGTTTTATTATTATGGCCTGGAAGCAAAGCTTTATGTTTGTCCAAATGGCCAAGCTCCCCTAACAAAGAGAAGCTCTGCCTTTATATAGGCTTACACTCTAGATATTACATGGGAAAGGATCTTAGGTTTACAGCCTTAGAAATAACAAGTGAAAAAGGTCTTGGGTCTACAGCTTTAGAAATCACATATGAAAGGGCCTTGGGTTTACAGCTTTAGAAATCACCTATGAAAGGGTTCTGGTCTCCAGATGGAGGAGTGGGGTGGGGGTGTGATCTTGTTTAAGTAAAAACAATGTCTTCCGGAGAAATTCCCCCATACCACGCCTGCTATTTTATAGGAAGGTGATTCAAGAGGTGCCACCAGCCTTTTCTTCTATTGAAATGCACTGTGGATGTCAAGGAGGAGGTTATCCTAGATGCCTGGGTCTCCTTCCTCAGTTGCAGTGAACTGAAATCATGCCATTGCACTCCAGCCTGGGCAACACAAGTGAAACAACATCTCAAAATAAATATATAAAAGTTACTTCTGAAGAACATGTGATAACCTTTTGTTGAACAAACACTTACATGGCACTGTGTACCAGGTCCTGTTCAATGTACTTTATAAATATTCATATTTAATTCTTAAACAATCCTATGAAGTTTATGTTATTATTATCCTCATTCCACAACTGGAAAACAGGAAAAAGAAAAGTCGAAACTTGCCTATGGTAATATAGCTGGTAAGTAGCAAAATAAGATTTAAACTGGGAATCATACTACACGGCCCAAGCTGTTACCCTAATCATTAAATCACGCTGCCTTGGGATACACTGCTTATGAAGAATCGTAAAGGAATGCAGACTCTGGAGTAAACAGATGTAGTTCATCTCTGGCCCTAGAGTCCTTGAGTAATGAAATATTGGACAAATAATTCTTCCCTCTAAGCTTTGGTTCCCTAATCTCCAAATTGAGAATAATAGCTAATGTTTATCTCACAGATTTGCTATGAAGATAAATAAGAAAATGCTCATAAAGTTTTTAGCAGAATGTCTGTGCATGGGTAGCATTAGGGGACATTCATAGTACCTCATGATACCTGAGAAAGATCAAGGTTCAAAATAGTAAGCATAACAAGTATGATTGATTCCATTTAGATAACATACAAAAACAAGCCAAACTAATCGATGCTGCTGGAAGGAAAGGAAACAATTATCCTAGCAAGGGAGGGAATTAGTGACCATAAGGCAGCATGAGAAGATTTCTTGACTGCTGCTTACCAAGATATGTTCAATTTATGAAAATTCATGGAGCTACACTCTTCTGTATACTTCAAAGTTTAAAAATTCTATGTCCACTGTTTTTATGATTAAAAGTAACACAATTAACATTGCATAGAAAAAGTTTGGACAGAAATTCACCCAAATTTTAATTGCTGTTATAATTTAGTAATGTGGCTTTGTATAGTTAACATTTGTAGAACACTCATTACATGCTAGGTTCTATTCTAATGGCTTTCCTTGCATTGTCTCATTTTATCCTCTAAAAAACCTATGAAATAGGAACACAGGTTCAGAGAGATTCAATTCTTTCTTGTTTTCTGTATTTTCCATGTTAAGTTGAAAGCACATACGGTATTTTTGTAAATGAAATTATTAAAATACCTGTGCATCCTGTTCTAGTATGCTCAGTGTTTGCTTAGTGCTGCCACTACTGAATGCACTGCAATTTCCTTCTTCCCTCTTAAGTGATTTACAGAACAAGGAAACCAAGAATAGGATCTAGCTTGGTAGCTAAGAGTGGGGGATGGGAGTGCTGGGGGTTAGGGAAAGCCTGTTTTCTTTCTTCCTCCTTTCTCTTTGGGCCATACTAACTTCTAGATGTACGGATAGGTAGGGAAAGTTTCTCCCCACTCCCTACACAGGTCACCTGTAGCATTTCCCAGAATTCCTGGCTTCAAGAAAGAGTTTCCAGGAAATGAAGCAGCTGCTACTTTTTCTCTCTTGCTAGAGGAATCAAACTGATAGCATGCCTTTGAATCCCACTTTTAGGCTACATGGAGACAAACATACAAGTAGAGAGCAGGCTCTCTAGGAGGAAGAAAGCAGATCTACCTCCTAGCAGACTGAAAAGGTTCTTGAGTTTGTGAATATATGAATTCATAGTGGGAGGTCCATGTTCAATAATTGGTAGGCCATATACAATAGAAATAAAATTGGTGTTGTATGAGTTGGATCTGTGTCCCTACCAAATCTCATGTTGAAATGTAATACCAAGTACTGGCGGTGGGGCCTGGTGGGAGGTGATTGGATCAAGGGGGTGATTTCTCATGGTTTAACACCATGCCCCCTTGGAGCTACCGTCATGATAGTGAGTTCTCCTGAGATCTGGTTGTATAAAAGTGTGTGGCTTCTCCCACCTCTCTCTCTTCCTCCTGTTCCAGCCATGTGAAGCGCTGGTTTCCCCTTTGCCTTCTGCCGTGATTGTAAGTTCCCTGAGGCCTCCCCAGAAGCTGATGCTTCTGTGCTTCCTGTACAGCCTGCAGAACCATAAGCCAGTTAAACCTGTTTTCTTTACAAATTACCCAGACTCAGGCATTTCTTTATAGACGTGCAAGAATGGACTAACACAGGCATCTACATGTGAAATTACTCTTTGCGTTTTATTACATCTTTCTCTCTCAGGTTTTGTCCTTCACCTAAAAGTAATTAAAGCTGATTAGTTTCAAAATAAATTACGTATTCGATATATGTTATGCGTCTGAATAATCTTTATATTGTTTAAGGATCATTTTTATTATTTTAATGCTTTTAACAAATACTTTTTATTCCTGTAACAAGTAATCCCTACAGAAAATGTATTTCCTCCAAAATATATGTGGCTACTGGCAAGTAGCCATTTTTCAACTTTATGACTCACTTATAAAACATGTTTTTCATATTATAAACCATGCTGTTTCATTTTTGTCTTGCTTTGAGCAGGAATAGTGTATGGTAAAACCTAAGATAAAAAGCTGGAGAAATTTGGTAAGTGGCAATCTTTTGATGATCTTGGCCTATCTCAAAATTTTTATCTCAACCTTGTTATATTAATTTTACTTTATTTGCATATTTGAGTTAAAAAATATCTTGGTATTAATGTTATGTT